TCAAATGGAGACCAACCTCCCCACCAAGGACCCGTATTAAACAGGTCCTAGATAGGTGGAAACACCGCCTAAACAACCCCCATTGATGACCGGTCAAAAACTCGGTCATCAAAGGGAGTCAATCCCGCGAAACACTCCCTTTGATGACCGGTTATGACCGGTTATCAATGGGTGTATACACTCCCCATTGATGACCGGTCAAAACCGGTCATCAATGGGGGTGTTTAAACCCATTGATAACCGGTCATAACCGGTCATCCAAGGGGGTGTTTGGGGGGGTTGACTCCCCTTGATGACCAGTTTTGACCGGTCATCAATGGGGGTGTTTGGGGGTGTTTCCTCCCATCAAGGACTGGTCAATACCGGTCCTTGGTGGGAGTGTGTCCTCCATTGATGACCGGTCAAAACCGGTCATCAATGGGGTTGTTTATTCCCATCAAGGTCCAAACTGGCCCTTGATGGAAGGCTTACCCCATCAAGGACTGGTTGAAATTAGTCCTTGATGGGGGTGTTTATCATCCATGGGAGATGTACTCCCAGTCCCATGGATGACTGGGTGTATTGATGGGGCGTGTAGAGTCCAAGGGGTTGAGACAAGGTCACAAACCCCTTGGATACATGGCTAATTTGGCGGATCAGTGCCATGTTTGGCGGTCCAGGAGCAATCATGTCGGTTCAGGAGCATGGGTGGCCAATTTTTCGGTTAGATTCAATTTTCACTTTGGCCATTCTGGCGGTTCAGGGCCGTCATTTGGCGGTGTGGAACTACTCTTGGGAGGAATAGAGCTTGAGAGGGATGAGTGCTTTATTGGGCTGCCTCTCTGATAACAAGAAAATATAAGAGTATGGACTCTTAAGGAAAGGTGTGGCTTTGGAGATTTCTTGAGGATGGTATGTCTAATATGTCTTATATTTACTAGTCTAAATATACTTGTTCACAAATCAAGGTATCCCAAATGTTGATGGGCAAATACCTGGCTAATAATGGGTGATCAGTTATCTGAATTGCTGGGGCAGGATCTGATGAGGAAAAAATGAAGGGGAAAAACAAAGCTCCTTATATACAAAATTCTGGGGAGTGGCCAGCTTGTGGTTGGAAGATAAATGGAACATTCTATAAGAGCATGAAACAAGAGAAAATATATTTATCCATAGAAACAGGGGAAACAAGCAGTGGGAAAATGCTCCCAAGGTTACTAGTATGAAACAACTAAGGGGGGAATATTCCATGGAAGTAGATAGGAGGAAATAACTGTTTCATGGATGGGGGGGATTTCTACTAGTGTGAGACACAAAGGGGTAAGAAGAAATAGAATATGTTTGGAGGGGAGTAAGTTTCAGGGCTGTGGAGTTTCTGCTGGGAAATATTATTATCCATGTGTTCTGGGATTGAGGGGATTCCTGATTGGTTTGGGGGTCTGGGGAGCTTTCTGGGGTGTCTTGATCCTGTGATTCCTCTGTGATTTGTGCTCTTGATAACTTTGAATTTTCAGGAGTGGCTTACCACAGCGGTTATTTGGCCAAAGTGGCGGTTCATCCCCATGTTTTCATTTTTCTGGCCAAAATGGCTGTTCAGTACCTCCATAAAAAAACGTGTCCAAACGCGGAAACCGCTTGCGCTGTGCAGCTGTGAAACTGTGTTTTTTTATTGAGGCCCAAAAATAAAAATAAAATTAAAATTGAAATTAAAGCCATCTTTGCCAACTGCTCAACAAAAAAAAATTGAAAGGCAAAAAGAAATATGATTTTTTACATATTTTTTGGAGGGTCACAGGCTGCAATCAGCAAAGGGAAAAAAATAAAAAGAAGAAGAAATTGAAGGCTTTCAGGCTGCAAGGACATCAAAATTAGTGTTTATGCAGCTCTCTGCATCTGAAATTTCCCCAAGGAACTTTCATTTTGCACTCTAGGGGTCATTTATGGGGCGGATATTCGCGGATATCCGCTCGGATACCCGCCAGAGCCAGCGGATGCGGATGTCTGATTCCGCTGAAATCATCAGCGGATATCCACATCTGCGCAGATATCCAGATGCATAGCAACCATGTCTACAACAGGACACAAGGAATGGGGGAAACTTATGATAGTATTTCTTAAGAATAAAGAAATACAATACAAGCAGAGGGGAGGAAAGGAAAAGAGATGAAATGAATAAATTAACTCTAAGCCTCCAAATCAACAGAAACTGAGATGGGAAATTGATACTGATGAATCAGATCAACCACTATTTCTTAGATTTATGATCAAGGTTTTTAAAGGGAAACCTAGGTAGTTTTCAGCTGTACTTTCAAACAGTGAGCTGAAATGGGATTAAGAAGCTACTGTGGCTTTGGTTTGTCAGGGCTTTGGTAGGTCTTGAAAGATGACAGTGAAAAGGAGGGGAAAGTGACAGAGAAAAAGGACAAGCAGCAAGATTCTAGCTAAACTTATGAGAAGTGACTTACTGATGATACCAATGATACTGTGTAGTGGGAAAGGTAGGAAAAGTGAGGTACTTCTGGTTGATAAGTGGTGGCTGGATCTGGGTCTGGTGGTTGTTGTTCTGAGTTGGTCTGAAGTCTGAAAATCCTCTGGAAGCGGAATCAACAAGCTCAGAGAGGAATTTCAAAGTTGGATTACATAATAATTGCATGTACATGTGGTAGAGGAAACTGAAACCTAAAGAACTGGTGTATTTCATAAGGTACTGTGAATTATTACAAAGTCAGTGAAGGAATGGAGTTGAGTAAAAGTGATCAGTGGTGACTAGGGTTAATTTTACTACAGGAATCTATTTCTGAATTCAGAATGGTTAAAAGTCTTAATTCAAAAAAGATATGATAATATTTGGAATAGAAATGAGCAATTTTGGCAGTCTTTTGGCCAGCTTGGCCGGCTCTAAGGCTGACACTTGTTATCTGATAGTATAGAAGGGCAGAGCTTGCACCTCAATCATCCCCTTCTCCATTCATAAAAAAGGGTCTTCCAACCACTTTTTGAGTCTTACACCAGCAGCAGCCCCTATTCTTTATGCTAAGGTAGAAGGAAAGTCTGAGTGCATTGATAATTGCACTCCCTGTAACTCCCCATCCCTCCAAAAGGGGTGGGGATTGATTCCCGCCCCTCCATTTGGGGAGGGTCTTACTCCCCGCCCCTTGGAATCCTGATTTTCCAAGAAATCAGGCTTCTGAGGGGCAAGGAATGAAACCCACCCATTGGTTATGGGTGTGGAGGGCTGCAGGCCAATCAAGAACCAAGATACTTCCTGATTCCTTTCCACTAACATACACTAATACTTGTAAGTACGTAAATCTGATTCTTACAAATCAGAATAAGGTTGATAAACCTCAAACAAAATTATCACAAAGCTAGACAATCCTCTGCTCATTACAGCAGATTTTTGGTGTTATAGGGTGACCAACCAAACACCATTTTCACTTATGATAATAAATGTGGTCCCCCCCAAAAAGGATTTTCTGGATTTTCCTATGATGTTTTACAATATCATGGACTGCCAAAACAGGGAGCCTATATACAAGGTCATGGATGATGTGTGCAATACAATCAAGACACATTTCTTTTGCTTCCCTTATCTTGGCATCACTTGCATACCACCCTTCATATTTTTTTTCATAGAGATGTTTCATTGAATTTTCACCATATTCAGCCCATGCACAGTGACAAACAATATACATATGCATTCAGCACCTCATATCTGAAGAAGTGTGGATTCGTAGTCTACTTATATTCAGACAAAGAGTGATGGTGATATTTGTTCAGTACATATACTGGACAACTTCCCCGGGTCTCCCAGAGCCGGTTTAGAGCCTAGAAATTCAAATTTCTCTGCGAGAATTAAGAGATTTTGGGTCTAGATTGACTTCTGCGAGGGTCCCAGATCGGACGGGAAGTCCTCCACTACTAGGTTTCACACAATGTATCCATCAGTATTCAAATCACAATCATTCATTCCTTTCTTTTTTTTTTGGCAAAGACTCAATTTATCTCACAAGGGTTTGCTTTTGTTTCTTTCAAGGCTTGTGAGATAGGTATTGTATGAATGAAGGAAATCTGGAAGTTATTGGACACATGTGATTGGAATGTCCAGTTCCAAGGATCCTGCAAGCCAGAGTTCCAGAGTCCTTCAGAGCCCCAGTATTTTTGTCCACATTGGGAGGAGAGGGAGGGGGTGCTTTCAGGGAGGCGACTGAGGCGGCCCAGATTCAGAGGAAGTTTTACTCAATACCGGAATCATTTTATTTTTGTTTCCCAAGATCCACATTTAATTCTGTACAAACATACATACAACAAAGATGATCACAGAGATATGAGAGTTTGATGAATAAACAGAAGCACTCTACATTAGACATGTAGCATGATTTTTTTTTTAAATTCTTACAAGGGACAGAGACCGGATACCACCAGAAGGATGTTCCAGGTTTGGGGTGATTCAACTCAGCGGTGGGCCGCTACGCTACGCTACGCTTTTGGCCCAAAAAGCGTAGCGTAGCGGCGCTTTTTTTTCATTGAAAAACCGTAGTGTTAGCGGTTTTTTAGCGGGTTTTCGCTACGCTACGCTGCGCTACAGCGCTTTTAGCGGAAAAAGCGGCCAAAAACCGCTAAAAACTGCTGTAGCGCAGCGTAGTGGGCCCTTTTTTGCGGCCCACACGCGTAGCGTTAGCGGTGTCATGGCGGAATTCCGCTACGCTACGCTAATCGCTAACAGCGATTCAGCTGCGTTACGCTACACTAACCGCTACGGTTAGTGTAGCGGCCCAGCGTTGTTCAACTTGAGTCAAAATGTCAGATCAAGAGCGGGGAGTCTAGACAACTGATGCCGATAGCCACGCCGCCCTCGCCAGATTGGGAATCTTTGGTACGAAGGATGTGGCCGGCTTGAAAGTTGAACAAGAGTGTATGAACCGCTGGAGTACTTTGCTGGGTGAGAGCCGAAGTTTTGTGCCTCTTTCTAGACAACAACGAGAAGCCGTAGATGCCCAATTCGGATATGATTTGGGTGGAGGGGAGGGGATCGATAGGCTTGGGATGATGGGCGTGGGACGGAGTGGAATCGGTTGGGTTATGGGGCGAAGATCGGACCAAGTAGTTGAAGACTTTCGGGGGCGTTTTGATCAAGCTCATGAGGATGTAAGTCTGCCTTTCCGCCGCCGAAAGCTGGCCCACAAAGGCCGGGAGGGCGAGACCATACATGTTATTTCCGCCGCCCTCGCGCTGAGGTTTGAGGACGAAGTCGCGGGCTTGGGCCGGGTTGCTTGCAATCTGGAGCCCGGCCGGATCGTCCAGCGAATACATCGCCGTCCAGCTCGACCGCACTTCCTCCCATCCCTCTGGCTCGATATGTGCCCTTAATAACTCGCGATGAGTCTCCAAGAACTGGGGCACCGTCAGGATCTGTTGGAACTTTTTACAGCCCGCCAGTTGGATCGACAGGCTGGGACAGTTGATCGCTCGGGATCGTTCTAGCTGGTATCTGCCCTTCCAATCATCCTCACTGACGAAATCCTCAGGTCCATACATCGAACGATAATAAACTACCGATGCTTCCCTCTTCATGTCCCCGCCCACATAGAAAATCTTCTTGGTCACCGGGTCTATTGTCGTTAGCTTGAGAACCTCGTGACAAGATAGCCTGATCATCCGGATTGAATCTGGTTCGGAATCTAGTTGGAATTCAATTAATGATTGATCAAAGATATTGTTTTCGTTCGGCTTGACGATCATGAGAATTACTGGTGGATTATCCGGGCATTCTACGGCTTCGTAGTGCTGATGGGCCATTCGAAGTGCCTTGCATATTGATTGAAGGGCTTGATTGGGAGATTCGGGCAGTTGTGATCGGTTGAAGATGGTTGTGAGACCAGCGAGATAGCTGTACAGGACAGCTAAGAGACGATCAGGACTGAATTATAGATAGATCCAGTCGACTAGATTGATCTGGAGCAGGGCACCGTCATGGCCCACAAAGCTTACCGATGTAATCCCGAGACTTTTGAGGCCAGACTACCGAAACTAACGCTGACCGTATTAAACTCTACTTGCTTGATGGCCAGAGGCTGGCTGGGTTCTGATTGATGAAGCAGAAAATCGTTCCGAAAGATCCCCAGGGAGAAGTGCTCGTCCATCACATCCTCCGCCTCTTCCTTCTCAAGCGCCTCCCACAGTTCGTAGAGTCGTCCAACAAATGGATCTACTTTGGAGATCGATTGTCCTAGTACTTCTCGGATTAATTCGGGACTTGAAGCGATGTTCATATAGAGTTGATTGTAGGCCGTCTGGATTCTAGGTTTTTGGGTTTGTGGGAAGAAGAGTAATAATCAGAATTTTTTGGACCTTCGTAACCGGTTTGGTTATAATGAGTATTTAAATAGTTTACTAACCTTTCCGCCTTTTCGAATTGATCTCGTGGAAAGGGAGAGGGAAGTAAGGTGAAGGGCACGTGGGATCCATGGACACCAGTTGGAGAGTGGAGCTTGAATATTAGCGAGTTTGCCAGGGCGTAGGTAGCACCGGCTTGTCGTAGTTCATCGAGGTGGATAGCGGGGAGCGTTGGTGGCCAGGCTGGGAGTTGACGAGTCGACATGGATGGATGAATGTTTTTGCTTGACGGTGGACTGATTCTGGAATGGAGGGGCTCGGCACCCGCGCCCTCAGACGCGGCCGAACTCAACACAAGACCCTCCGAGGGGGTGACTTGCTCATATTAATACTGCTGGACAGTAGTTTTTCATCAAGAAGCATTGCTTCATCTGATCAGGCCCTCAGCCGCAATGACAGGCCGGCATGAAAACTGATGAGCCGATCCGGGCGAAACTTGGAGCGTCAAGTTCAGAGATCCTGCCGGCCAACCTGTGCTCAACACAACTCACGATCGTAGGATGCCGCAACTCCGGGGCTCGGGACGTATGTATCCCGATCCCAGCGCAGCCATCCATCCCTGTTTATCTACGAGCTGTAGGCTTTTAAAAGGACGGGCATTTCTACTCCATCCGCACTGCCTGGAGTCTGTGTATCGTAATTAAGCCATCGAGTCTGTGGTGACACCCACAGATCCGGACACCTCAGCTGCTTAGGGGAGCGATCAAGGCAGTGCTCATTCTCACACTCGACCACTGCTTGGGTATTTCCGGCAGTCCGCCCTGCGGCTATAAGGCCAGGTGCGGGTGAGCTTTGGGCTCAACTGACCGCTTCCTTCCATATACGCAGGCCAGCAGTGTATTCAAATGTGTGTGGGGACACTTCCTTGCTTTCATTGCAGGCGGCTGGAGTGGATCCGTGATCAGACAAGTTGCCCGAGGGCCGACGGTATGTATTGGAGGAAAGCTGCGGGCAAAACAAGTGACTGCCCGGCGGTGCTTGCTTGACGAGTCTCAGCGGTATTCCTCCCAATCAGCCCCGGTACAGTCAACGAGAGTCGAGGCGTGAAGATGGTCCAAGCTGCTGGAACTACGAACTTGACACAAGTCTCTGGCTGCGGCGGGCGCATCTGGCAGCGTAGCGCTGGCCTGGCGGTTCCCGAAGGGAACTCCCCGCAGGGGAGACTTGGGCCAGAGGTCGATGAACTCAGGTGCTGAGTTTGGATTGTTTTGGTGGGAGCGTCACAAGATTTGAAATCCTGACGCTCCCTCAAAACTTTCTTGATGTTTGGTCTGGAAATATGAAAGACCTGCCTGATCTTATTGATCAGGCCAAAACTTAGAAGTTGCTCCTCGCAACTGCAATTAATAATAATTTTCTAAAATATCAGCCTGCAAATCCTCTTGGGGGTAGACTAACTCATCCGACCAACTTTTTTATGTCAAAAACCTTATGTATATAATCTGCATAATTACAGCTATTTCGGAAAGGGTTGTCCACTTGGACTCGCGAAATCTTTTTTATTTTTTTATTTTTTTTATTTTTTATTTTTTTACTGAACTGGACCTGTCAGAACTGAACTATCGATGACAGCTGTACCTCCTCGGCTGTAGTTCAGTACAAAGAAAAATTTAAAAATTTTCAAAAAAAAAAAAAAAATTGAGAGACAACTGGACAACCCTTTCCGAAATAGCTGTAACAAACAAAAAAAATGAACCATATCACCCGACATAATCTCAGAAATACGGTCAAGTCATTGTTTCATCAAAAACGTTCATCCTCTCAACATCAAACACTCGGTTGATACAAACCAGAGGAAACCAATCAGATTGTTCATTCTCCGTCAAGAAAAATAAAACACATTGGTTCGTTCTTTGTTCGTAAGGTCTGGGTCAAGATACTTCAAACATGCTGATCATTCCAAATCCCTCCGTCAAGACTGAATCAGCATCCACATTCAAAACTGAACCGTTCAAAACGGAACATTCAGAACGGAACCGTTCAAAAGGAATCGGCTCGTTCAAAACGACCGTTCAGAAGGACTTGGCTTGTTTGAAACGGACCTTTCAAAAGGACTCGTCTCGTTCGAAACGGACCGTTCAAAAGGACTCGGCTCGTTTGTCGTCGGCTCGTTCGAAAAAAGCCTCAGTCAAGACGAAGCATAGACAGGTGCTTGTTCTCTTGGACAAGACCTCTGTCAAACACCGACTCCAACCCTGTTGGCCAACAACACTGATCCTCATTTCCTTTCTCTTATTACTCCATTTCACTCCACATCTTCTCATCCACAACATTGTTCCTGATTTCATCAGGTATTTTAATTTATTTATTTATAGTATTTTTATTTTTATTTGTTGTATTTTAATTTTTATTTATGCAGAAATGTGGTAGTGCTGGTAGATGCTGTCTCGCTTTGATTTCTCTTGTCGCAAACGGAAGGTGCTGGATCCATTTCTCTGTTTTTTATCAATGATGAATCAGATCGAGGATGGTCAAGAGTTGCCTTCTCTAGTATCTGACTCGAGTTATCTGGCTCTGACCAACGATCTCATTTGTCTTTTCATCAATCAAGCTGTGATGTTATACAGGGTTATGCCAGGTATGATTTCAATTGGCTTACTAATTAAAATCAAGGTGTTGAAAAAAAATACAAAAAGCGGGACAATCTAACTTAGCATTGGTAACTCGAGTTGAAAAGTGATCGTTTTTAAGTACCCTTACAAGGATAGCGAAATATGATAAAAAAAAAACTGAAACCACAAAAAAAAGAGTACGAAGCAGGCCTTCATGGCCTGGGAAGGAAATTAAGTACATGTCGATGAGACGACAGCTACATGAGGATAAAGATGAAAATTGCGGTTTTCAGCCCAATCTTGAAAACTCAGCACGCGGGCCTCGTCACATTTGTCTTAGGCCTCCACTGGCGTGGACAGCTCCGCTGCTCGCTCCCGCTCCCGCCGTGGAGGCCTAGTTAGGCTCGCTGGAACTACAAATTTCGCACCTATGAGATCTCATGATGAACCTTAGTGGATCGCGCATTGACCAGTGCCCCTTCATCATGGTGCTGCAGTGATGACTGCTGCAGGTTGAGATTGGCGTGCGGCCACGATTTCTTACAAGACTCGTCGGACTCGGATACTTAAGGCCTCCTTTGTCAAGCAGCCGTCTCTGTGCTCCACAGTTATCAATCTCATCAACTCCACCCACATCGTCTCTTATCGGGCCCTCCAATTCCAATTCGAAATCCCGTCCTGTGCTTCATTCGACCCGTCTTATCTGACTCGCATCTAGCCAACATGAACGCCGCCCTCTATGCTTTACTTTGCCTTGCTGCTGCCACAGCCAATGTCGCCGCCGTTGGCGAGACGTTGCAGTGTTCCACTTACGCCGCCGTAGGTCCCAAAGGATACAGTGCGTTTTATCTTCCCTGATAGATTTGTAGTGTGCTTTCGAAAGAATATCAACAAACGGTTCGACGGTTTTTTGTTTCAGCTTGCAACGACCGATCTGATATCATCTGCACCGAAGGCTGCAAGAAATTTATCAGTAAGTGGGCCGGTGACAGTCCTTCTGCTCTGTTAAGTCATACTGACTTTTACAACACAACAACATAGCGATCACCAACTGCTCTTTGCAAGACCACCCCCAAAAGCCAATCACCACCGAACTTTGCACAAATGGGTATGGCCGTGACACTGCCGCTGCCAAAGGTACTCAAACACCATCTTTTCTTAACATAAATCTGGTCTTGCTTGGCAATGATGTTAAACTTAAACACTTTCACTTTGTTTCCGAAACGCAGCGTGTATCACTGGTCAAGGAACCTTCCGCTGCACCGGCACTACCACTGGATCTGGCAGTAAGCTTTCCCCACTTTGCAAACCAAAGCCTTATTGAGAATGTTAAGTTGATGGTTCCTTGCGTATCATTCTTGAAGCTTGCTCTGGCTGTGTTCCATTCAACAAAGTCAGCTGGGCCTAGTAGAGTCCAAAGTCAATGACCAAGCTTGCCAATCTGGAATTAGCCTGTCCTCACATCCTTGAATCAGAACATTTCAAATAAATTTAGCCCCTATCCTCAACATATTTCCCTTCTTTTGTACATACTATCCAAACACCTCTTAAACGGTGAAGCCATGAAAGAACAATATTCGCCGTCTACTTTGCTTACCGCAACGGTTGAGCACCAGAGTGAGATTCTCATGGTTCATTTATCTGCAACATTAATTTGTAACAGTTAGTCCAATGTCCCATGACAAAGGATTACCTCGTCGACTGGAAGGACACCCTTCCGGTCGACGAGGTACTTGTACCTCGCCGGCTGGAAGGATTTCCTTCCAGCCGGTCCGTCGCCAACCCTTTAGAGGGCGGGTATCCTTTGGGATACCCGGATACCCGCCAACGATTTGCGGAAAAGGGGCCATCCGCACCCGAATCCGCACCCGCTGGCGGGTATCCGTTGGCCCTGGCGGGTATCCGCCAGCGGATAGCGGGTATCCGCGACGGATACCCTTCGACCATCTCTAACTACGCCCCTTGAGTTATGAAAGTTCTGAAAGGAGTAGAATTTTGGGGGTACATAGTTCCAGTGAGCAACCCCATCTGAAATATTATGAAAAGATCATTTATGAAATAATATCCCAGGTCTTCTTATTATTAAATGGTATTACTACAAGTAAGATATTATTAAGCTGTCTTTTGGATACTCTTGAGGATCTCTAAGGCTGACACACAAAAAATACAAGAAATCTCAAACAAGATGCAAAAGGATTGTAATGAACCTTGCAGTCAAACTAAGTGAGGAAGAGAGGGGAGGTACCCGCAGTACCCCCCAAAAGTACCACCAGTACCCGCCAGCACCGGGCAGTGCCAGGTGTGGTACATGGTACCTATTTTATTCAAAAAATGAACAGGTGCCCAAGTACAAAAAAACAATCTCTAAGAGGGAATCAATAATCATGGTGGTCCCAACATTTCTGTAAGATACATTCATGCAGGAACTCCAGGGCTCCAACCATATCCCTGCCCAGAAGCCAATCAATACTTAAACTGAGAGAGACAAGATGTGTATTTTGTAGTTCTTATATTTTCTTTATTTTGAGACTGTTGAAATTCTAAACTGATGAGATTGGGAGGCAGAGTGCCAAGAAGAAGAAATGCCTTTTTGGGAAAGGTTCACAGAAAAAGAATGAAAGAACCAATGATTTTTGATTCACAAGTAACTAGCCAGATTTATTAAAGTGTCAAACTGTGGTTGAGTATAAGTTGGATGAAAATAGAATATTGAATAAAGGCTAAGAGAAAGAATATTTTGAGATCTTCAAAGAAACAATCTTAGCAGGACTTCTCAGTCTCTGTTAGTCAGGCAAGAAAATTTAATCAAGAAAAATCAGAAATTCTGTTACAAAAATTCAGAGGTGTTAATTGTAAATGATTAGTTTTTAAGAATCAAATAGTGAAATGGCAAAAGAAAGAAATCAATCATAATGACTAGAGTTGTTGACAAAATTGCTAAAGTTAGTTCCAATTAGACTACTGAATTGCATAAGATGTTGAAATCCTTGTGATCCATCTGTGAAAGCTTCTCTCCTCCAGAATTCTGCAGCTCATCTCAAATAATCATCAACTCAAATCAAAACCTTACTCTCTGTTTTTCACTCCTGCTCCGTCAAAATCTCTTCTCCCATCTTTGCTCCCTTCCCGTCCGTTCTCCATTCTTTTCCCTCCTAGTTCAACCATCCTCTCTCTCCAGCTCCAATACCTGTCTTCCTGTCTTCCTATCTTTGACTAAAATCAATCTTGACTCGACTATCTTTGACATTGTCGACTTCCCCTTTGAACTCATCTCATTCACTGTCAAACATTGACTACACTCTCTCCGACTCTGTCAATTCATCATCATCAATTGGATCACTTCAGTATCCACTTTGGTGAGAAAATAACAACTTCCCTCGACTGTTGACCTCAACTAACACTATCCTCTTTTTTCAGTCTTGCCTTGTGTTCTCCTCTATCTTGTATTCCCTTATTCAATTGTTTCTCTGATTATTCTTCTGTTGTGGTAAATCCTTTCTCTGTTTCATTTCAATCTATATTCCTTTCTATGTTCTTGAAGAAATTTTTACCAAAGACGAGGAGAATTTTTGGGCAACAAAAATTAGTTTTTGATGGAATGGCTCAAGGGTCGAAAAAAGAGGGAGAGAGCCAATGAGTTTTTTTACTTAGAGGAGACTACGCGTTAAATAGTCTACATACAAGAGGTCAAACATGTGGTTGAGAGAAAAATGAATATCATAATGAATAACAAAAAATAAACAAATTCTTGAATAGATGACTGGAGCAAATGACTATTGATAAAGACTAGACCAGGGTTTGAAGACTACAAGGATTGCAGCACTAGACAACAGGACAAGATACCACACAGATACTAAAAAAAATTGTATAATAATTTGAATTCTATTATTTAATCATAATTAATCAAAAGACTAAACAGAACAGGATTTTTAGGGATGAGGAGAGAGAGAGATGAAATTCCAACAGTAGAGATCGTTCGTTCGGACCTGTTGGGGGGTACCTGCCACACTTCAGATCAAGCCCTCCACATCAACAGCCACCATAAATACCAGTGGGGGGCCCAGTACTAAACATTCATCATTACTGAACCCTCTGGAAGCATCAGTGGTGTCTGAGGGTGTGGAGGGAGTGTTTTGAAGTGTGGCAGGTACCCCCCAACAGGTCCGAACGAACGATCTCTATCCAACAGTTCTGATTTCTAACTTGTCTTGGTCTGCAGTCTGGTTTGGTTTCTTAGCAATAAAAATTCTCTAGTTTACTCATAAGATTCAACATAAAACCAGCAATGAGAGACTATAATTCAGTCCAGATCAAGATGATTCAAGAAGGAAAATAGAGAAAGAGAAAGGGGAAAGAGGGAGAGATTTTAGGGAGGAGTAGGCCAGAGAAGTGAAAACACAACAGAGACTGATACCTGGTATCAGTATTTCCTTGGTTGGTGAGAAATTCCTCCGTCTTGGATTTCTCTTTATGCATGCAAAAAAAAATGTCTTTTTTTTGGATTGATACAGCCAGATCTTGTGTATCAAAGACATTTTTTGTGGGCTCTTCCCTCTGAGACAATACACAATACTTGTCTCACTTTCCAAAGACAATACGTGTGTATTGTCTCTGAGACAAACAAGTATTGGTATTTTTGGGTATTCAAATTCTGAGACAATACAAATAAACCCTGGGAATTGTTTTTTCTTGCCTCTGTCTCAGCGTTGATACCGTCCTAATGAAGGATACAATGCCACTCCAGCAACCATTCCACCTTGAGCCTGTGGAGATGTCCATCGACATGATTACAAGTTGGGCCACAAAGTCAGATGATCTCCCTCTGACACTCAGCCCATGAATAGTAACCCAAGTCAACCTCCCAAAACGTTTTCCTCTTTGTGGGTTGGGCAACACAATCCCATTGTTTTGAGCCGGATCTTTGACCCAGCTAGCTTGCCACAGATTGGGTGTACACAAGGTAGTCCAGATATATCAAGCGCAAATGCTCCTTTGGTGCCGCCAGCTCCAATCCTGTGGGCCGGCCATTTGACTGGTTGTATGCATTCTTGTAGTGGGGTCTGTTAGATTTCACAATAGATATCCAGCAATAACAATAACTTACAATTTCAATCAAGATTGTTTGCAAAGGGCTTGAAAACTTGGAATGTTGGACTTGGATGGCTTCTTGGAAGCAGCGGTGGGCCGCTACGCTTTTGGCCCAAAATGTGTAGTGTAGCGGCGCTTTTTTCATCAAAAAAGTGTAGTGTTAGCGTTTTTTAGCAGTTTTTTGCTACGCTACGCTGCACTACAGTGCTTTTAGCAGAAAAAGCGGCCACAAACCTCTAAAAAGTGCTGTAGCGCAGCATAGTGGGCCCTTGTTTGCGGCCCACACATGTAGTGTTAGCGTGTCGTGGAAAAATTCCGCTACGCTACGCTTAGCACTAACAGTAATTCTGCTGTGTTACGCTACACTAACCGCTACGGTTAGTGTAGCGGCCCACCATTTTTGGAAGAAATGATTTAATTTTTGAGGCTGATGGATGGTTGTGGTTGGGGAAGAAGGAGGGTAGGGGGCCGTGATTGGGAGCCATGGATTGGCTATATGAGTTCAGTAGAGAGAGAATTGGAGGGAAGGCTTGAAGAATCAGAATCTTTGGAAGATGTACAGGACCTTGAATGAGGTTGTAATTTTCTAGCTTGAAAACCTGCAAGCTTTCCTGTGTTAGCTGTACACAATGTGGCTCAAGAGTGTCTCCATTGGTCTCTAAAGATTGCTGAGAAATTTAGTAGATTCAAATCTTCCAAAGCTTCTCTGGATTTGATACCATTCTGGTTCCAAAAAAAAGGTGTGACCATCTCTAATGAAGAATACAAGAAATTAGCTTCTTTGATTGGGTAATACTAATCAAATAAGATAAAACCATATAGATATTATTTTAACTTCATTATTGCTTTTGGTTAATTATTTCATTTTCTGTAGATATTCAAATCATAGATTCACTATAATGATAATTTTATTTTAGCATGCAGACTTAACCTGGTAAATTATGATGTATTAGGCTCTGTTTGGCAGTGGCATAAATATAGGTGTAATATTGACCAATTAATTAGAAGAAAAATTAACTGTTCAAGACCATGAATCCAAGTTTCTTTACAGGAAAGCTGAACTACTAATCTCTTCAATTTTGACATAAGTTTTGATTGATTAGGCCATCTTCATCACAATACATAACAGCAATATTTCACTTTGTATTGATCACAAGTGCAAATATTACTATTATGAGGCTGAAGATGGTCTAATAATTTGAATCTGATGAGAAGAGTAAAGAGATCAGGGGTGCATGTTGCCTGTAAAAAAATTGGATATTTGATTGGGAATGGTTTAGTTTTTATCTAATCAATTGGGCATTATAGCACCTATATTTATGTCACTGCCAAACAGGGCCTTATTCATTTACATATTTTGGTTGAGATCATGCATCACAAATCAAAATCCCACAATAATGAAGAACTCTTGTTTTTGGTAATGATTCTAGATTGGGGAATCCATAGAGCTTGACATTTTTGGATCCAAGAATTTGCCTTGTCTGAAACCCCTCAAGTGTGTATCCCACCTCAAGGAAGTGAAGATTGAAATCTTACTCAACTTTCTGATAAATACATTTTCCTTCTACAGTCACATCTAATGGGGCATCCCAGTGTTTTGTGCTGAAGGTTGGGTTTCCACTAAATTTAGGGTGCTGGCCCATGTCCAGACATGAGCCAACTGGTCTTAATTTCTTCTATTACCAATCAACTGCTAACCCCAAAAGAAGCTGAAGGAAAGCTTGAGGGTTCCCACGAACAAACAGATCAAAAACCCGGCAGAGAATAGCCAGTGCGCCCCCCCCCCCACCCCACCCCGGGCCCTCCATCTTTGAGACCACTGGAAGACTCATGCTCCGCGCTGAAGGAATGAGGGATGCCCTGATTCACAAAGTGAGAGTGTCAAGAAACCTGAAGGTTCAAGTCCTTCGTCGGTTGTTTACCTGGGTCTCGGACTGTTAATAGGTACGATGTTGGTTTTTTAGGCTCTGCTTCATTATTTTATGATGGGGTGAGAAAAAAGGCATAAAGCATGTTTGGATGTAGATTACAGAAAATAATAAAACGTGGATACAGAGAAATCGAACATGTCATGACTATTTTTTAGCTTTCTTTGGGTCAGGAGGATTACCTTGCGTAGGCTGTGAAGTCTCTGGGTCAGCTGAATCAGGGGAGTCAGATGGTCGAGATGAGGCTATTGGTTGATTGGAGGCGGCGGGAGCGGGCGTTGAGGTATCTAAGGATTTGCGTTTCTTAGTCGCAGATGCTCCTTGTTGGTCGGTTGTCGATTTAGGCCGAATGGCTCCAGCTAAAAAGGCCCTCTGGAAGTCTTTAGCCTTGCGGGATTTCTTGGGTATCATCGTAGTCGTCTTCTGGTTGGTTGATGCTGTTGCTACTGTCTGAGGTATTGATACGCTGGTGGGTGATGATCCTTTGCCAATAATTTCTGCCGCTGTCGTTGTTCCTGCAGAGCCGATTACAGGGGTGTCAGCGGTCCTAGATGCGATCGCCCTATATCATAAATATATAAAAAAAGGATTGAAATGACCACTAGGTTTAGTGAGACTTTGGGAACTCGTTATAGTTGGAAAATGAAATGATCTTCTTGTTACTGATGATCATACGTCCACTACTCAACTCTTTAAAGCGTTTCATCTCTTTTTGGATCTCCTCTTGTTTTGCCATCTCTATTGCACGCTTTTCTTCAGCTGCATCGTCTAAAAATGCGACTTCCTCATCATCTAGAGCCCGGAATTGATTCTCTGCAGTTCCTCGTCAGTGATTCAGCTTCAAGAGGGAACTCTTATTCGACTTGGATACCTAAAAAATTAAGAAATAAATGTCTACATACTGAATTTCAATTTTTCTTCGAAAGCCTCCTGTTTTTTATCCTTCGTTTCCTTCAATTTCTCGTATAATGAACGACCATCGTATTCCTCATTGGGCATCGGTGGAGCTTCCTGAGAGGATTGAATGATAGTAACCAATATTATTCATGTTGGATGGAAGGCCCTCTAAATTAAACCCTGACCGGTCACCATTGGCCAGGGAGTAAGATCCAAAGTTCAACGTACCTGTCCAAGTCGCTGATAGGTGGCTTTCCATTCCTCTTCTCGCTTCTGCCTAGCAGTTTCTAGATCACTCGAAGATACGAAGCGACTCGCAACCTGTGGTGGAAAGTCACCCAAAAACTTTCAGCGGTTCTGTCTTCTCCTGCAAGATCTACATGCAGTGAGCGAGAGATATCTGACTTACCTGGCTAGAAAGTACCAGGTTAATCGGTTCATCTGCCTAGTTCAAAAAACAACCAAGTCGTCATCATCAGTGCCTATTTCTCTAACACCAGCAGGAAGGGGGAGATGTGATGGATTAACCATGTCTTGAATATCCAGGAGAACGTTCGTTTTGTGGGTTGTGGGTGTAAATATGTAGCCTGTATCAGAAATTATTGAACTTTTGTATTACCAAGGCAAGTTGTCAAGAGGTTGTAGCTCATGCCTCCCTGGGTGTGCGGGCAGCCCTTCGGGTTACCCGAAAGCCGACTGAGTTTGAGTGGCTTACTTAAGCAGAGTGCCGAGCCCGGCGCCGGTTGGTCTAAAACTTCAAACAGCCTGGTTTGGCAAACAGGTGATGAGACCTTGCGTGGCGGCCTCGCCGATATTCCATATCAGTGACCGGAAGGGGATGCCCGGCGGAACTCAAGCTCCATTGACGCGCCAGGCTAGGCTGTAGTGAGAGGGCACCACTTCGAATTCGGTACTATCCTCAACAGTTCAAGATGTGCGGTGAGTTGTTCCTTGGCCAAGGCTGCCCCGATTGATTGATGGTCGATAATGGGAAACTGATAATATCCTAATCCACTGACTTCGCACTCGCTGAGAACATAGGAATAGGATTGGCAATTAGAACGATTCCCAAATCTCACTCGGGATCCGCTGGACCTCTCGATCAGCAGCCTGGTACCACCCAGGAAGTTCCTGAGATTGACGATTCGATTGGACGTGCAATTTCATCAAGGGGTATGTCATGACTTCCTACTCCATGTCAGCTCGCACTGCACAGGTCGCATTCAACCCGTTCTGCTTTTCTACTGGTAGGGCCTGATTTCCAAGCCCAGGAAACCCGAGTCATTAGTGATGCCTCAGCACATCTAGATATCGAGATCAAGTTCTTCGCGTCTGTCCTTCATCTCCGTGGACTCGCCCTCACCCAGCAGCCAATCAGCGCACCAAAGACTGGCAGTCTATTGCTGTGGAATGGCGAAGTTTTTGATGGACTTCCAGTGTGTTTCCTACTTTTTTTTTCTCATCCGGTATTACCCAAATTAATCCTTCTCTAACTTTTCCTGTCCTTGTGTCAAGCTCTCCGATGTGGAAAACGATGGACAAGCGGTTCTGAAAGCCCTTGAGGATAGAGGAAACAAAACGATTCCTGAAGTTTTTCTTGGTATAGAAGGCCCATACGCTTTCATCTACTACGATAGCTTATCAAAACAAATCTGGTTTGGACGTGACCCCCTTGGACGGCGATCGCTCATGAAGCTAGAAAACGTCAGTCGAGGCCCATTTGTTTCTCATCCTCCCATTTATATTTTAGCCATTTACCAACTGCACGCGCCCCTTTTTAGGAAAAAGACATTCTCATCGCTCCTTGATAAGTGGTGCTTCGCACTACGAGGGTCGAACCGCCTTACTCTCGTCAGATTGGCTACTCATAGCTTATTTTGTGTCGAGTTGAAAGACGTCGAAGATCTATGCATCCTTCCAATAGCTCGAGGCTCACCTCCGATCCTACTCAACCGACAAATCCCACTCGAAGCAGATCGTGTACCCCCCAGCGGCCAATCGCCCCCATCTTTGATCACAGCTTCTGGGCGCTTACGTGATAGTCTGAACAATTCCCTGCGAAGACGGCTACACAATATATCCACACGTTACCGGTTTGTTGTATTACTCTTGGAGTCGTCGTTCTAGAATTCCCCATGTCCCCAACTAAGCAATCCTTCAATCAATTCCCTCATCTTCCATCAGGACCGATGAGCGGGATTCTAAGGTCGCCATTTTGTTTTCGGGTGGACTTGACTGCACAACCTTAGCTTTCCTAGCTCACTTTCACATCCCACTCACTGAATCCATAGACCTGATCAATGTCGCATTCGAGAATCCACGTGCAGCGTCCAACTCGAGACGCAACAATCAACCTGTCATTCCGGACATATTCTCAGTTCCTGACCGCCATACCGGGGAAGAATCATGGAAAGAGCTTTGCCAACTCACGCCCGGCCGAACTTGGAGATTTGTGAAAGTCGATGTATGGATGAAAGATTATCTCAAATACAAAGATCAGATAATCGAGCTCATGTGGCCCAACGACACAGTTATGGATCTTGTAAGCTTTCCAAGATATGCTATTGGATGGACTAAAAATGGGAACTGAAAGACGGCCTCTCTGATGTTCAATGTTCAGAGTATTGCTGCAGCACTTTTCTTTGCTGCTTGGGGCGTGGGAAGCTGTCGACTTGATCCGGATTCCGACCAAGTTACACAGTCTTATCGCTCTCCGGCCCGTGTGTTTTTATCCGGCTTGGGTGCTGATGAATTATTGGGAGGATACTCGCGCCATCGTTCAGCATTTTCCAGTGCATCGCCTTGGATCAACTTAATTCAAGAATTGCAACTAGACATTGATCGGATCCCCACCCGAAATCTTGGACGCGATGACCGGATCATTGCCCATCATGGTCGTGAAGTTCGATATCCATTTTTGGATCGTGATGTGATCGACACCCTCGCAGGTCTACCGGTACATCTCAAATGTGATTTGGCGCTCGAGAAGGGAACAGGTGACAAGCTATTGCTTAGAGTCTTGGCTCGGGAACTGGGTCTGAGTCAGGCAAGCAAGTTAGTAAAGAGGGCCATCCAATTTGGGGCTCGATCAGCGAAGTTGGAGGGACTTGAAAAGGGGACAGCTGGATTGCAACCTCCAGGTGTCCCAAGTTCCACACTCGACATGGATGTACAGTGCCCTCCCAGATGTATATAGCCAATCTGTTTGGATTACACAACCCTAACCCACCAACTTGCAATCATGAGACTTGAGCAAGTGGTATAACAGAGGTTTCAAAAAATGATTCTGAAAACAAAAGTATGAAAAACCAATTTTCAAAATTTTCAAAAAATATTACAATTATTGCACTTTTTTCAAAAGTCTTAATATTGCTCCAAATGAAAAAATAAAAATTGGAAAGAGTGGTATGGTATGCAAGAAGAATGATTATAAAGGAAAGAATTAACACCAGAAATTATTTGGACCTCAGTATCCAGCTCAAAACACAAGTTGAATTTGATAGCACTGCCTCCTCCACTGTTTTTTCCACTGTGAGACTGATGAATGTCTCCCTCCACACCATTTTAAAACAATCTGGTAGTTATTTTATCATAATTTTCATTTATTATCATTTCTCCAACATACCATACTCCAAGTTACAATCTTTATTTTTTCATTTGGAGCAATATTGAGACTTTTGAAAACAGTGCAATAATTGTAATATTTTTTGAAAATTTTAAAAATCAGTTTTTCATATTTTTGTTTTCAAAATCATTTTTTGAAACCTCTTTTATACCACTTGCCCAAGTCTCATGATTTCAAGTTGGTGGGGTAGGGTTGTGTAATCAAAAGAAGTTGGCTATATACATCTGGGAGGGCACTGTACAAGAGTAAATATCAATAAAGGATTGAACAGTAGGTAGAAGGAAGGTGATTGAGAAGAAGCAACATAGTAGTGGGCCAGAGCAAGAGGTAGCAGTTTATATATACACCCAAAGTTGCCTTGTTTCATTTCCCTTGAGATCCAACCTGTTTCTTCAAGTTTTGAATTCTGTTGGAAAATCAGACCATCAGTCATTCAAATTCAGCAAGCAATTGGACTCGCAACTGGGCACACCAAGAGCCACTAAATCTGTTGCTACATTGAAGGACTTGCTGTCAATATCCGTAGACCCTACCAAATCAGAGGAATGACCTTTGTTTTTTGTGAATCCATGTTTCCTCAAACTGAAGTTATGGGAGGTGTGGGTTTAAAACAACCATCTGGTACACTCAAGTCCAAGGACATTGAAGGTTTTGGCACAAGGAGAGGACCTGCTTTGGGGGTTTAATCACTGCCAGAATAAGGGCCTGTACCATGGTACATAAATATTCACTTTTAAAAATTTGTAATTTCTTCTGTCTTCTATAGGAGACAGGTGTTGTTGAAATTCTGTACTTTTAGCCCAGAAAATGGCTGTTGATAATGTTCACTTTTAATGATATGAAAATTTGAGGATTATAAATTCTGATAAATTGGATTTTCATGCCCTAACTTTTGCAACTGCTTGTAGTGAATGTGCTTTATTATTTCATGGTCATTCACCAGGGCAGTTAAGATTTTCATAAAATCATTTATTAAGATTGAGGTGTTATTGATGTTCCTGATGAATGTGAAGTTTCATGAAAAGTTAACATCAGCATCAGCAAAGTGATGTTAAGTTCCCAAGCCCCACCATGAAAAATGCAGAAGTTTTTACTTTGGGATACTATAGGTTGCAGTTATAACACAATTAGTCACATTAGAAGCTTCCATTGTGATGGTTGATTCTGTAGTTGGATGGCACACCTGAGCATTTAAATCCTAGCATTATTCAAGAAGTGCATAATGTAAAGGACTGTTAAAAGGCCAGCAACCTGGTCCTGCCCCAGATGCACTAAAATACTAGTGGCATATCTGTGTCATGAAGGCTGAAAGGTGTGTGGCACATGGGAAGAGAAAAAAAAAGAAAGAAATGACAAATCAACAAATTGCATGTCACGCCAAGCCCATTGGCCAACCGATGACCTGACTGACTCAACCCAGCTCAAAATTGATGGTGCAGGTCATGGGGTGAATGACCCAGGCCCCGTTTGGACGCCCCGTTATACGTTATAAATGGGGCCCCCGTTATAAACCAAAATTTCAACAAATGTCATCAATATATATCGCCCATGACACCTGTCCCGTTTATAACAATCAGGTGTTTGGTGTGGACCATAGAAAATACAGAAGATCGATCCCTACCATCCCCAAACACCACACCAAAAAACGTGTTGATGGCTGAAAATTCTCTCAGAAGTCTACTGGCCACTCAACGTCGTCAGCAGGGTCGGTCAAAACGAAAGCGTCGGTTTATTCTCTTCTTGGTTACTCTTGTTGGCCTTCGTCAATGGGCAAGAACGATTTCGAAGGAACCATATAATGATGCCATATTCGGCGGGGATGCATACATCAAACACATCCTCAGTGGCAATCGACATCGGGCTCAAGCTATGCTTCGTTTATCTATCAACGTCTTCAAAAAGTGCGCGGCCGAATTGGATTCCCTTGACTGCGAACCTGCTTCAAAGCTGCTGAGCATGGTAGAACAACTCGCTATTTTCTTGTACATTGTTGGACAGAAGGCAACGAACCGTCAAACACAAGATCGATTTCAACATAGTGGAGAAACGATATCGCAGGTGTTTCATCACATCATTTACCTTTTTCTCAATCTCAAATCAAAGTACATCACCACACCGGATCCAAGATATACGCACGAAGTGATTCTCGACAACCCGAAGTTTACTCCGTTCTTCAATGGGTGTCTAGGGGCAATGGACGGCTGCCATATCCCAGCGTATGTACCTGAAGATCTAGCTGGCCCGTATCGAAATTGGAAGGGAATATTAGCCCAGAACGTTCTTGGTGTGGTCGACTTTGACATGAAGTTTACTTATCTGATGGTTGGTTGGGAGGGATCGGCTCATGACTCCAAAGTTCTCGGAAGTGCATTGTCGGAGGACTTCAGTATCCCTTCGAATTCATTCTACCTTGCCGATGCAGGATACTCTCTATCAAGGGGGACACTAGTCCCATACAGAGGGGTGCGATATCATCTGCGCGAGAATGCACAAGCAGGGCAGAGGTCAGTAGATTATTGCTCATATCTATTCTGCTGATCTGATGATTAATGTAGGTACTTGCTCTCAGACCCGAGACAAAGGAGGAGCTGTTTAATCTGAGACATTCGATGATGCGAAATGTGGTCGAACGAACCTTTGGGACGTGGAAGAAACGGTTTCCGATCCTGGTTCACCCCTTAGAGTACAGCCTAGAGTGCCAAAGAGATCTTGTGCTGGCTCTTGCAGTGCTACACAATTTTATAGTAGACCATCGAGGGTATAATGTTGAGTTTATCATAGATGCCAACGAGCAGGGAGCAGCGACTGGTGAGGATGATCCGCCACCTGACGAGGACAGTGATGAGGATGAGCTCCCTGCAAGCCAGGCTCAAGAGCGAGCACAAAATAATGCCTGGAGAGATCAGATAGCCCAGGACATGTGGACTCAATATCGTACTTATATCGAAGCTCACAGATAGATCTCGGTTTTTAAATTCTTGTTTTCTATTCATTCAAAGCTCACAGTGTCAGATAGATCTCGGTTTTTGGATTCTTGTTTTCTATTCATGTGTTTGATTTCTTTTATGACATGTGAAGAAAGATTTTCATCACTTTTGAAGAGAAATACAAACATTTAGATGAAACTCTCAAAAAAAGAGACACAATCGACGACCGGAAAATGCAATGAATATTAAATCTAATAGGTGGTTGAGTGATGGTTTTGAATCTGTCGGTTCAACCAGGCCTGGCAGTAAGTGTGATCTCAAATAGCCAAGAAGGTGTTTGCCTTAGCCTCATTTTCCAATATGCTGAATCCGGCGACCATGTCGTCCATGTCCAGACCTTCCGCAAAGTGATCTTGAAACTTCTCGATGGCCCTGTGGATTGTGGATGTCTGAGCGGTATTGTCATCTTGAGATATAAATGCATCAATCAATCGTTCAACCGTGTTTTCAAAGCGATCGCCTGAGGAAATACGGTGTTTGCGAGGAGGGCGCACCCCGGGTCGGGCCGATCTCACTTCTTGAGATGCAGTGCTTGGAAGATTCTGCCCGTTGTTGATCGCATCTGGGGGAGACTCCTGATTGGATTCCGCTTCGATGGCATTGGTACCCTTGCATAAAGCTCCCACCGCTGCATTCCCGCTAAAAATAACATTGAGCTCATGGAACTCAGGGAAAGGCGTGTTTTTGAAACGCTTAGCAGTTGGATGCGACTGATCACAGCCATGGATCAGCCAACCATACATGATCAAAAACCAAACAGAAATAGCTTACTACTAAGAAGCTGCTCCAAACCTCCTCGGATGCAGTGACCATGCACTGATCTTCATTCCATCCAAAGCCGCTTGCTTCTTTACACGCAACAAAGGCATCATACCATTTTTTAAAAGTCTATCCGAAGTCAAATAGTCAGTTCCAAGCCAATAGACTGTAATAAAAACACCAAACAAACATGTAATAACTAGCCAAAGTGCATACTTACTTGGTTTAACTTGGACTTGACCTTTGGACCAGTAAACTCGGAACCAGGGAACTCATTCGATAGCTCAGTAGCCACCCATCGGTGAGTTTCAGGCTTGAAACCATTATTGCATCGCTTTCCTTCTTCAACCGCTTTGACGTACAAGTCGAGAGCGCTCTTTTCCATCGCTGGGGTCCAGACAAGATTCTTCCGATGAGAGTTATCACCTTCGGGTTGATTTTGAGAGTTAGTGCCTTCAGGTCGGGTCTCAGAATTAGGGGGCTGATTTTGCGAGCTGATGCCGGTCTTGGAGTTAGGGGGTGTATTCTCTGGTTGATCGATCACACTCGGTGTGGCCAATGATGGTTGCAAGCCATGTGTTGTTCTTGCTGGAGTCCCGGTGGTTCCACTTCCAAGAGATAGGAGCTTGGTGTGAGCAGCACTAGATTGTTGAGAGACCTGAGTTGCAAGAATCGGTTGGGAGTTTTTTTCTTTTCTCCCTCGAGGCATGTTGAGAGTTGTCAAGTTGGAAGGAGAGTTGTCTAGTTGGGGAAGGGAGATGAGCTGTATATGTTGATATGAAAGATGATATATCTGGTGTTTATAATTGGAGGCTTATGATGGCCACACCAAACACAGATTTGGTGGACCGTCATAACCCCCGGGGGTCAAGTGTTATAAATTTGCCCATTTATAACGTATAACGGGGCGTCCAAACGGGGCCCCAGTTATAAATGGGGCAAGGTGGGTCAGCAATTTTTTGAATCAACTCATGGCTCAACATCACTCTAGCTGGTCTAACTTGATTTCAGTCTATGGTGCAGCTAGCATAACTCTAACTATCAAGGTGACTGGCACATTTCCCTTGAGTAAAATCTGAAAATAAACCATCTTTCCATATTTTTAATACAAAAGTTCAAGAAGAGCATTTCTTCCACAAAAAGATGTGCACTTATCACCCTATGTAGAGGAGGTTGAAATATTGTCCAATTGTTAAACTTGCAAATTTCCCACTGGGAATTCAGAGTTTCTATTGGCATTTAAGTGAACGATGTAAAAAAACCTTGAAATTCAAGGCATACTAGAATAGCAGAACTGCAAAGCAGGGGATTTTATACATCATCTGTCCTTGCCACCTGGGCAAGAAGAAGTAACAATAATTATTTATCCTCTGAAAAAGAATCACTTGGAAAAGAAGAAAAGGATCAGTCAACATTCAATCAAAATCAAATTTCATCAGCGAATTCGAATCTGTCCCACCTAAATTTTGTCTGGAGTCCGCAGGGGTCTATAGATATCATCGGGCAGGGCCAGGTGGCTTATTTGGCACTACCTGGCGGAGGAGCTCCCCCAGGTTTCTCCTCTTTCTTTTTCGGTGCCTTCGGGACAGTTGATTTCGCTTTCTTCTGGAACTCATCGAACGATCCTGGACCTGAAGCAGGACTAATGAAGAACCAGTTCATTAACTAGAAAGAGGCATACCAAAGTATATTACTTGGCAATGATACGAAGAAGGCCTTGTCCAACTTACAGGTTGACACCTGCGACCCTGAGGATATAATCAGTAAGTGAGATGACAAAAATCAGCCTTTTTTCGCATTGTACCTATCTCGCATATCTAGAGGTGGGGATTATCTTACATTCCCATTTCGCAATGCATTTTTTGGACGCAAGCAATATAAATTGGTTTTGTTGTATTCACGGTCAGGATTTGAGTCGGATATTCGACTGCATTCATGGATACAGTCACAAACCCAGAGTGAAAAGCGTTCACGTTCGGCAGGGGAGTGCAGGGCTCTTCGAGGCTAGTCTCTGTTACCGTATGATTCTACTGGATCAAACGTTTTGAAAGCACGAAAACATCGTTGTGTTAGGAAATGTGGACGTCTTTGGATAAGAAGGATTCGGCTTGCCTTAGCGAAGAACGTATACACGATCTGGTCACTACGCATCATTATGGAATGAACATTCACTTGTCAGCTCCCCTCAACACAATTTTTTTTTGTCGCTAAAAATGTTGTGCACAAGCCAACTCCTGCCCATACTGCTTGGCTGCTCAGAACTTACTGCAGAGATGCATTCACTGTCGGTGGCGCGAATTTCAAGCCGTTCTGCCCAACCATGACGTTTACCTGATAGTGAATTTGCATTAGTAAATAAGTCAATACCAGACACAAAGAAAAGAAATTTTACGAACAGTAAACTTACAACATGAACCTTGGCATTTTGTCCTCCGGCTGCCTCGGGTGTCGGTTGTCCGCCAGGTGCGTCAGGTGGAGGAGCGTGACTTAATTTGGCGAGCAGAAAAAAAGCCCACCATGCTAAAGGTTGGTAAAAGTAAAAGCTTCGCCTCATATCGGATGCGTGGAGTGGAATGGCTGAAGAAGACCTTTAATGAGGCAAAACAGCCCCGTAGACTGCACGTAGATGATTGATGCTTAGAAAATTAGTGGAACTCGATGAGAACTTTTTGCTGGAATGTATCGGCAAGTTTTATAGCCTCCAGCCAACAACCTCGACATTCTTAATAGTTGAATGAAAACGAGTAGCCCTCAGTAGCCATGCAATCCATATCCAAAGAGCACATTACCTGATCTGAAAGGTTCTGAATTTGTTGACTTGGAAGCTATGCAATCATGAGATTCACTTCGGAGTGAACTATGAACAGTTCACAACCGATGTCCCGTCACGATAACTTATCATACAAGATCTATCAACAAGTAACCATCCTCGTAATTTACATTACCAAGACCAACAAAATCCATGTCAACCGCCCCATTTCAATTGACCAAACCTGCTACAAAATTGGCTCAATTGTTATTCAAACCGAGGCTCCAATGTTATTCTAGTAATCATCGGTTCTCGTCCAGTTTATGGAACAGTCCCAGAGTAGCGGTGTAAAAACTACATCGAAGCTTTTGCATCAAGAAATTTCAACACCAGTAACAACCATCAGAGTCGTATTAATACCAACCATGAGGGTAACCCAGGTCACCAACCACCACAACCACGCTACAAAGTGAGGCTTTTAGTTTCATCAACGTTCCATTTTTGAGATTTCATCACACTACTTTTTCAGTCAGCTTATGTTTTCATTATCCTGCTACTCCCTTTTATTTCCTGAAGAGTTGGGGTTTTGAACAGTGACAACGGAGTGGTGATCGACCACTCTTGGTAAATTAAATTATGAAATTAACATTCCCAAATAAGATCTAGAAATTGGAATGTCCTTCCCAAATGTCTTGCTGCTGTAGAGGGCTACAAAAAACATACGAGTCCCTTTATTCCTGTCCATACCATCATAAATTATCTGTTGAGGGGAACACAGGTGACTGAAACTCAAAGAGAGGTTGAAACTCACAATGGTGTTGACGAGTGAGAAAGATATTGTATTCAGTGAGGAAACAGGAATTGGAGAGAGACCGGTAAAGGCATAGACCTGATAGACTTAGTATGAGCATAACTACATACAATCATATGAGATCTACATACAGGTATCTCAACATTATCTGTGTTATCTAACACTAAAAAATAGATATTTTGTCTGAGGAAAATATTTAACATCATGCAGCAATCAAATTTGATATACAAAATCTTTAGCCTAAGTCAAAAGGATTTTGTTTGTTCTGGAATTCTTTGTCCAAAACTGCATGTCATAAGCACAATAACTTAATTATGCCAATCATGAAGGACTAAAAGCAGAATGTTAATCTCTTCCACTTATGTTTTTGTGGCTTGCCCATCCCTGTTGTGATTAGATATCACAAACCAATGCATATCTTCTGACTGACAAAAATTGTCACAGTTGAATAATGACCTGTAATGTATGGTAAGGTCCAAGAATCTAATTCTTCAGGATTTAGCTTTCTCAAATCTTCATACATAGCATCATCAAGTTTGACCATTGCCATGAGCCAATATTGAGCCTAAAAACAAATTTTGTCAGCTATGTGTATGAAACTTTGGCTTAATTAATATAAAAGCCAAGTACTATCACTGTGCTGAAGGACTCAGGTTAAAGACCAAGATTACTCCTAGTCACCCTCAAAGTATTAAGTGGTCCAAACTTCCCACTTAAGAGTTTCAAAAGTCCAAAGAAAGCACTGTAGGAGACAATAACAGAATATGTTATCGTAGAGTGTTTGGAAGCAATAATTACTATTGCAAGAAGTAGCTGACAAGCACCTGAGCTGAAAGGCTAAAGTCAGAGGTGGTGGTCTTGAAGCAACTACTTTTTAAGGAATTAGTTAAGTTTTGAGTCTGGGATAACTCTCAGCTTAATAGTAATTCCAGTAAGAAGGTAGGGTTGGATTGGATAAGAAGACTACTCTAAAAGTAGGTGGAGAATATTCACTGTACTCACTGAGTGTAATGGGGGTGAATATGCTGAGGAACCAATCCTAGGCAGGAGAAAGCCTCCTTAAATATTCTAGAGGTCCCCTTGAGGCCCTCCTTAAAATATTCTAGAATCTCTCTTTGGTCTACCATGGTAGAGTTATTCCGCTGATGTAATGGGAATAATTCAAGGTATTTCAAATAATGTATATTCTATGTCCCATGACATCATGATGCATATTTATAGCCAATTACATCATGTGTCTACTTAAAATAGAATACTACTAGTAGAAAAGTGTCACACTCTTGACATGGTGTGGTAATTTTCTTTTCTACAAGTTCAATAATTTAATTATGCTTGTAGAATAAAATTTCTAAGGTTACCCTAAATGTATATTTAACCCTAATTTAATATACATCAATTTGATTCTATATTTTTGTATGTTTTATTCCTTTTGTCCTTCAAGGTTTTGAATATATACAAAGTCCTTGAAGGAGTAGGAAATTGGGGATACTTCCAGTGGGCAACCCCCTTTATAATCTTATGAAATATAGTTTTATTAAATAATATTATTACATATTATATTACATACTGAGTATTTAATATTCAATATTCATTTAGCAGTCTTTTGGATACTATGGAGTATCACTAAGGCTGACAAATTTCAACCACAAATCTCTCACCTGCAAAAGAAAACTGCATTAAAAGTTTAACCTGGTGGGTGGGGCTATTTGAGTGACAGCCTAATTTTATCCTGGTTTCATCCACCCAGGTGGAGCCAGGTCACACCTTTAAACTCCATTCTAGAGTTGTGCGCAATATATTACTGTACAACACCGTCTAAATTATTTTAGCCTAGTAGGGGAGATGGATGACTTCCCGTCAATATCTGCGGGTCTCAGAAGCAATTTATAGCCTTGAAAGCTAGATTTCCCAGCAAAATTATAGACTTTTTGGATCTAAATCAAAATCTTTGAGGGTCCCAGATCAGACAGGAATTCCTCCAATAAATGGCTATTTACCAAGCAGTAGAGATTGTTTGTTGGTACCCTTTGCTAGGTACCTAGTACCGCTTGGGGGGTACCGCCTGCACCCGCTGCGCACCTGCCAGGCGGTGCCGGATGCCAGTTTTTTGGCTAAAAAAGGGGCGGTGTGAGAACTCCTTTGGGAAGGGTTGGCAGTCCTTGAGGGGGAAATAACAATAATGATATTTCACTAGATAATATTTACTGTTACGGGTGGTTTGAAAGACCTGCCCCTCTATTTACTACACAAGAATTCTGACAACAATTTAATTTAATGTTGTGGCGTAACTTTATGATGGAGAAAACTTATATGTAGTAGTCTCTATCAGACCTAGATCAGTATGTAATTCAATACAAGATGGTTGTACAACCTTTACACGGTGAGTATGGGTGTGAAAACAATCCAAGTGGAATATTTTTATAGGGTTTTATGGTTTTACGGTGATTCTGGATAAGTAGTGAAACTGTTGGTTGTTGTTGTTGTTGATGATGTTGATGTTGATGTTGGTGTTGGTGTTGGTGTTGGTGTTGTTGTTGTTACTGGTGCTGACTAGACTTTAATGTTGAAGGTGTTTGTGTTGATGACCACTGAGCTGGCTGGGGGGAATGAACCGGCTGGGTGATGATGGTGTTGACCACTGAGCTAGCTGGGTACTGTGCTGGCTGGGATGATGATCGGGGGAATTGGTGAAGGAGAGGCCTCCTTATATATTCTTTTCTGAGTTATTTTTGCTGGTGGTGATGCAGTTGAGGTGATTTTGCTGGTGGTGACCTTGTGGGTTGCACTGCCTCCTGCAAAGAGTACATGCATTGAGCTAATTGTGCTGTGGAAATAACTAAATATGGTACTGCTGTATGTAAGAATTGCATAAATGGTTGCACTGCCTGGTGGAGGTTTCCTGTCCACATGCATTTATGCAATGTCTGCGTGCATTTAATTGAGTTACTAAGTGGAGGCCTAATGGTTGCGCATATGCATGCAAGAGTTGCATAACTGCTCTGCACTACTGGTGGAGGCCTGCTTATGTAATGATTTATGTGTATGTACTTATATATATGTGGTAAACTACTATTAAATACTAATTAGTGACTAGTTATGGTATGGCTTTAACCTTTATATTGTATTATCTTCTAAACTAATAGAGATAGAGGTATAGTTGTAGTGAGTGACTATGGGTAAAATTGTATGTAGATTCTGATTATGCAATAATATCTTCATATATGTAAGTGGTTTAGGTTATAAGGTAGGGGTTTTGGCAGTTTTGTTGCGCACAACAGCCTGGACCACCACAGCGGTACCCGGGTATCATCCCCATTGATGACCGGTCAAATGGTCATTGATGGGAGGAAACACCCCCATCAAGGACCGGTTTTGACTGGTCGTTGATGGGGGTCAACATCCCCATCAATGACCAGTCAAACGGTCATTGATGGGAGGAAACACCCCCATCAAGGACCGGTTTTGACCAGTCCTTGATGGGGGTCAACATCCCCATCAATGACCGGTTTCAAGGGGGGTCTTCACTTCCATTGATGACCGGTTTGGTAAGCCAATCTTGAATAAGAGGCCCACAAAATCTAAGCCTCAAGCACAATATCAAGCCCTCTGGACAACAATACCCTCAAGGACCAAGACAAGCCCCCTCTGGAATATTCAACCGACCTGCAACACCATGGATGTCACAAGACCAACCCCCCAGGACAGAAGACACTCTGGATTTCCATAAAATTCATTTATTACATAATTACTTCATGCAGTCTTACATCATCAATCCCCATTCAGCCTTCCACACTTGGCCTCTGCATGTTTTTCACTCTATTCCACTTACACTCTAGCTTCATTTCCACTTTGGGCCACATTTCTATTGTCTCACACTATTCCTCTTGGGTTATTGGCATGTCTCACACTAGTACACATTTGGCTAGTTCATTCATCTCTTTGGTATATTCTTCCTCCCTCATTGGTTGTGGCACATTTCATCCCTGCATGTCTCTGATGTCATTTCCTCCATTCATCTTAGTGACTACCAATTGGGCCACATGTTTCAGTTTGATAATTTTCTCTTGTTCCATTTTGTTCCATGGTGATTCCAACCACAAGCTGGCCACTCCCCAGATTTTGTATATAAGGAGCCTTGTTTTACCCTCTTCATTTGTTCCCCATCAGAGCCTGCCCCAGCAATTCAGATAACTGATCACCCTTCATTAGCCTATTAGTTGCCCATCAACATTTGGGATACTAGTATTATTCAGACAGAAGACCAGAAGACAGAAGACAGAAGACATACCCATCTCAAGAATCCTCCAAAGCCACACCTTTCCTTAAGAGTCCACACTCTTATCTTTTCTTGTTATCTTACTCAACCCAGTTACCAGAGAGGAAGCCCATTAAAGCATCTTTCCCTCTCCAGCTCTATTCATCCCAAGAGTAGTTCCACACCGGTCAAAACCGCTCATCGATGGGAAACACCCCCATCAATGACCGGTCAAAAACGGTCATTGATGGAAGCAAAGACCCCCATTGATGACTGGTTGACCTGTCATTGATGGCGTACAGTCTCAGGCGGAGAGGGGTTCCTCTAGTCTTGGCCTTGCAACCTTTTATAGTCTCAAGGCCAAGAGGGATTCCTCTTGGCCTTGAACCATGTAAGGTCTCAAGGTTGGGAGGAACCCCTCCAGACCTCAAGACTTCGTAACCGTTTGCGGGCTGCCTGGGGGGAGGGGTTCCTCCCAGCCAAAGACTTTTTTTCCCTTCAACAGCCTCAAGCCAGGGCTATCCCATAGGACCCATGCCTGGGTCCTATGGGATACGGCACAAAAGTCTGTAGGTTGGCATGCATGCATGCCCCGCTTATAGGTTGGCGTGCAGCCTTGCATGCCAATCAAAATTGGTGTGCGGAACCGCACACCAACCTGCTGGGGGAATGCCCGTGCAGAGGGTTGGCGTGTGGGTCCGCACACCAACTTTGATTGGCGTGTTGGAGTGCGTGCGCGAAGGGGGATGGAGTGTGATTATCACTCCCCTTCAGTGAGGAAGGTCTACTGAGACAGATCTAGCATAGACTACATACAATCACGGTTTTGTTGAATCATACTGACTAGGCTATAAGCATATTCCAACAGTACCTACACCCTCCATGGAAACCTGGGTGCACAGTGCCAACTCTACGTATGGTGGAATCAGAAACAGAGCTTGGACTGGAGGCAACAGTGCAACAGAGACGAGATGAGACGGTATCAGGTGTTCATTTGTATTGTCTCAGAATTTGAATACCCAAAAATATCAGATTTGTGTTGTCTCACTTTCCTGAGACAATACACATGTATCGTCTTTGGAAAGTGAGACAAGTATTCTGTATTTTCTCAGATGACTGATCCCACCAAAAATGTCTTTGAATATACACAAGATATTTGGCCGTATTGAAGAAAAAAAACAAAGACAATTTTTTTTTCTTTTCATCTGTAAATCCAAATCCAAGACAATGGATTTTCTCACCAAGCAAGGAAATACTGATACCGGTATCAGGCTCAAAATAAAGACAATACAATCTGATACCAATACATGTCTGATATCTGTTGCACCGTTGCTGGAGGGGAAATAGACAAATAAACCACAAATAATGTATGTCAAGACTATGGGTTCAGTTATGGCTGTGCTCTAAACTAATGCTGAGGAGAGAGGGTCACACTAAGGAAAGAAGAAAGAGGTGTGGCTAAGTTCTGTCTGATTCTTAGACTAATGAGTTTGTTCCTTATTGATCCCACAGGGGAAGAATTGAAAAGATGAGGTTTGAAAGCCACACAACAAGATTGCTCTCTGGTTGACCTTGCTCTCACTTATACAGTACACTCGCTTTTCCCCCCTCCTTCTTTTTTTCTCTTCTTTTTCTTGAGACGTCTGTCAAGGAAAGGCCCATTTGATAAAGAATAATATCAAGAAGTAAATGTATAATATGTGTATGGTTTTTGCATGTTAGTGAATGTATCAAAGTTGATGATTGATAAAGCAAACAGTAAACCAATCAAACTGTAAGAAGGAATCAGAACCAAGAGTGCATAGATTGACATACCCACCACAGGACCCTGGAAACCCTTTATATAAATCTGGGTGACAAAAAAACCAGTGAATTTTGACTAAATCCATACATTGGGGGGGGGGCATCGGGGAATGGCCCATTCAGGCCCATTCATACACATTTTGTGTGTATGTTCAGGCCAAAATCCCCCAGAAAGTGAGGAAACCCCCCAGAAGATGGAGGGACCAGGTCATTTTGGGGGGTTTGTCCACAAGTTTAGCCAATATTCATACATTTAAAGCCTGTTTGGTGTGTAACCTTTCAGGGAACCAAACTGATTGATACATTACCACTAGTGCGTGTATGGTTTTTTTTTTTGAAAAATCCATACATTCAAGTCATCCACATAGTTTGGGGGTTTTCCAGGCTCCTCCCACTACCCCACTGGTCCCAAACCCATCCATCATGAATCACCCCACCCAGTGTTCACAAACATGGGGATTGTCAACAGCAATGGGATTTTTGGAATAAACAAGATGGTCTTGCACTTGGATGTGACTTGATGTATTTGTGTACATGCAAACATGAACCAAAAGAAAGTATATATATATTTGTATATATATACATATATAGAATGATGGTGGAACATGAAGCAAAAGAGAGAGAGAGAGAGAGAGAGGAAAGATACGGAGAAAGGAGCTCGAGAGAGAGAGTATACTTAATAACCAAGAGAAGAAAGAAATCAACAACAACAACAAAACAAGTTGATGACACACAAAAAAAAACGAGGATGAATAAAAGATAGAATATAAAGAGAGAGAATGAGAGAGAGAGAAAAGTTCTATGACGTGATGAAGCAAGTTCGAGAAGAAAGAGAAAAATGAGAAACCAACAAAATAATTCCGCGCACATTAAAACAAAAAAGAAGGAGGAAGAAAAAAAGCCACAGAAGAATTGTGAATGAATAGAAGCAGAAAGTAGAAGCGAAAGTCGAGTGGGGGACCGAAGAATTCACAATATACGAGTTTGGAATGGCGCGACTGCGAGAGTTCCTTGGCCGTGACCCACGAAAAAAAAGAAAAGCGGGGGTGATCAAAGAGGCGTGCGGGGAGAGAAAGGGATGTTTCAGAGCAGAGGGACTTGTTGGTTGATAGCGACCATCCAGGCGGCCGCCGAGCGTTGACAATCGCATTGAAAGTAAAAGATAGCGCGACTATCGACGAACCTGATCACTACGACCGTCCAAACGATAGACAGGGGAAAAAAAAAACAAGCAGCGAGAGGAAGATGAGTGATCAGTAAGATTCTGCGGATCGATCGATCGATAATGGTCAATGAAATGCAAGGGGGGAGGGGGACTGAACTTGTCTGGTCGGCACCAAAGATCGTCGCCGGTAAACTCATCTGGGGACGGGAATGTTGCGCTAGTCGCAGGGCTTGGAATAACGAGGCGGCGGACTGACTCGATGCTCTTCCTCCGTCTCCTGGGCTGTTATCATCCAAATTTAGAATCTTTAGAACTGGCCCAAATCTAAGTTGACAAAATAAATGATTTAAAAATGCTTACTCTTTCACCAACACCAAAAGATCGGTACACAATAGGACGATCTAGAAAATGGAAAATAATCTTAATGTAAGTCCAGAAAGGAGAAAAGATGGTTGCGAAAGAAATCTATTGAGACTGACCATAGCTACAGGTTGACTATCAGTATTGAGCACAGGGACTCGAATGCGCGCTGAGGGATGAGACGGTCCGCCACCACTGGTGACCGAATCTTTGGTGGTCAATTTGACCGTCCTCATCAGAGACTATCACCAAACAAATGATCGGTGAAAGGAGTGAGTAGTGTGCACTTGAGAATAGACTCGGAAACAGATCATAAAAATCCCTTCGTAAGATACTCACCATTGTGCCCTCCTTGATCAAAGTTCGATGAGGTTGCACAAGGGGTGACCGGAACTTGTTGCCAAATCTTTGCTGCCAATAAAGCTGTTCAAGGCAGAGAGATAACCTTAGCAAGGATGTCGAGAGAACCTATTGCTAGCCAGATCACTCACTAATCTTTGTCTGCCCTCTGAATCTCGTTTCCGTTCGTTCATCTCAGCCGTCACTGCACTCACGATATTCAAGGCTTCCACTGCGACCTTGTTGGGCGTTAGGGGTTGTAGTTTCTTGTCTGTTAGTGCGCCGCTTTGATTCCTCGACTCGAGTTCTCGGGCTGACACACAGCTCAGATCAGGGGTACAAGAAACCAGATTTTCCAGCAGCAACTTGTAACGTGGGAGACGTTGGACCGGCATGAGGAGATACGATTCGAGGTTCATCTGGGTATGAGAACCATGGGCACGACAGCGCTTCATATACGTTTTCAGCCGTTTCTTTTGTCCACCACTCAGCGTGCTGTGGTGAGTGGCAGCAGAGCTGTTTGAAGGAGCCAAACTGCTGGGTGTCCATGCAGGAACGTTGGTCGAAGGAGCTGGAGCGGTGACGGACCATTCACGCAGACGTTCGAGGGCGGTGTCGAACTGGGTGATGTAGGTAGAATATAGCTTCAAGAATGCTGCGTGACGTATGAAAACTCGGGCCAACTCTTCGGCGGCAAAGTTTGTCAACTGACTTTCTAGCTCGTGCCTTCTCTTCATCAGCTCCTCGTTACCGTTTGCGGGTTCTTTTGAGTCGGCCATGGCGATACCTGCCTGCTTTTGCCGTAGACGATCCATCACCTCTTGGAAGTCAGGGAGTAAAACATCGACATGAAATCCAATGATAGCTTCCACATTGTTAAAGACAACCTTCCGTTCAGCGGGTGGGACCATGGGCTCCTTCTCTTTGCCAATGCTACTAGATACCATCAATGATGCACTAGTGATATAAATATCATGAAGTTCTTTCAGGCCTTTGATGTAAGATTTCTCGGTCGCAACAATCTCTTCAATCACTTTAAATCTTCTGAGCGCATTCTCCGTTACTTTCACAGGTTCGAAAGTTGGCTGAGCACTTGAGTTTGGAGTTGAGTTCCCATTAGAGAGGCCATTTTCCAAGCTTTCAGGATCAAAATCCGCAACATTGTTGGGGTAGAGCGCTGAGGGCGTAGATCTTCCATCTGTGAACATATTCGAAGGGAGCTGCTGAGAGTGTTTGGTGCTCGTGGCTCGGCTGACGCCAGCGGATAGCATCGGCCTTGCTCCACCGGCCATCATACCACCATGCACCCGTGCGAAATCGCCCGAAAGATCATGGACATCCCTCAAGTACATCATGATCGAGCGCAATGCGGTCCAGCGATTGCCTGCTGATGGCGGCGAATGAGAAGAGGCCAAAGTAACTGCGGAGGTTGAGTCTTCGGCGGACTTACCCACGGTGGGAGAATGTTCCACCTTGGGACTTTGAGATTTGCTGAGCTCGTCTTGTTCTGCTATCACTCCAGGCAGCGGAAGTGGGGGCGGCGTTGGGAGAGCAAAATGATCTTCAAGCTTCAAAAAACTGCGACGGTTGTTCAATCTCTTCTTGGCTTTCTGAGCAGTGTGATGAGAATCACCAAGTTTCATGCTGCCCTGAGTTTCATCGGCTGAAGATTTCGAGGAACGATCACCTTGTGGATGCTCATCACTTTCTTGAGGTGTAAGACCGTCGGGCGACACCAATTTGCCATGATCCAAGAAGTTAGCTTCCGAACTCGGGTTGCCAGACGCTCTATTGTAAAGACTGCTTGACGCCGTCGACCCAGTGCGAGGCCGGGCAGGATCACGCCGTAGTTTACCCAGGCTCATTTTCTTGAGGAAACCAAAGGATTTCTTCTGATATTCTCGGCCTTGCTGTGCATTATTGGGTGAAACTGACTGAGCGATCTCACTGCCAGGCGGGATCTTTGGATCTGGACGCGAGTTGGGACCGTCTGTGTACTCTAGCGGAGACGCTAGATTACCCTGTTGCGTGACAGAAGATGAAGAGGGTCTTCGAGGATGACCCGTGAAAGATGAGGGTGGCCTGAAGTCATCAGCGACATCATCTCGAGAGACGTGGGACATGTTGGGTTCCATCAACGAAGCAATCGAATGACCGGTAGTCTCGTGGGCAGAAAGAGGGCGAGAGACAGAGCCGGCCGACATGTCGTTGGTGCTACGAAGCCTGCGAAGATAGCTACTGCGAGGCGAGTTGAGGTGGTTTGAGCCTTCAGCACTACACGCACTATGGGGACGATCCCCATTCTCAACGAGATGATCGGATGCCAGTGAGGAAGCCGAAGTGACCCATGTGCTTTCGGAACCAGCAAGGTGACGTCGACCGCGCTGTGGACGCTCGGCACTTGCGTTGCGTCGGTGCTCATCAGGAGGTGTACGAGTATTTTGCGATAATTCAGGGTGTGAGCGAAGGGTCGAGCCGACTGAGGATGCAACCGGCGAGGGGTAAGATGAGGCAAAGTAACGTGAATCCGTAGGATCGCACGAGCCTATGGAAGGATGTTGTTGGGGCTCGGGACGACCGTATATACTGGTACATAGCAAGGGCTCGACGAGGTCTTGCCAGGGGGGTTCGAATTCATTGCCATCGACTAACAGAATCTCAAGCCTAGGAAGCAAACAAAGCCATGAAGGGAGACTCCTGAGATGGTTGTAGCGAACTGATAAATCACGGAGTTGAGTAAGGCCGTTATAGGGGTACGCAATCTGATACAGCCCACACCGATCTGCGGCCAAAACTTTCAAAGCGATGAGATTTGATAAAAAGATGGGCAATTCTCCGTTGGCCATCACGTTCCCGCTGACGTTCAACTCCTCTAACGCCTCACAGTAAGCAATGGCAGAGGGGAGTGAAGTCAGGCCCGCGTCGCTGATGTCAAGGACAACCAAATTTCCAGCAATGGAAGATAGCTTAGATGATAATAGGGCGCCAACTAGAAATGGGGCAAATGTTTTGGCTAAGAGCAAGTGTGTAGTATCTGTGTAACAAACCCAATCCAAATTAAGGGTTAAGCTCATGGAATCCAAGATAAAAAAGGCATCAAGAAAAATGAAGGAAACAGTAGAAACAAACCATCGGGTACAGCCAGCTTCTCTAATGGAGTTTTGCTGTTAGATATGTCCACAATACATCCACGGCCGTCCTCGACCAGCGCAACGGCCTGGCTGGGAATTTGAGAAGAGCTGTGCATCGAAGGTGATTGATCGTCAAAGTCGTCCCAATGTGACTGGTGGTGATAGAATCGATGTTTGGATTCGGTGGAACTTTCGGCATAATGGCCTTTGGATAAATAATTCTCACGCGGATCAAACACGGATTCGGTGTTGTTGGATGCTGGGGGTCTTCTTGTGGTAGCGCTCATGGATGATGAAGGTCCGTTGGTGGGCGTATGACGAGCACTGTTAGGTTTTTATGTTTTGAGATGTCATAGGGAAGTCCCTGGTAAGAAAA